ACACCAATTAGGAAGGATATATGCACCCCTATGTTCATAGCAGCACAATTTACAATAGCTAAGATTTGGAAAAAACCTACGTGCCCATCAGCAGATGAGTGAATTAAAAACTGTGGCACATCTACACAATGGAATACTACCCTGCGGTAAAAAAGGAGGAGTTCTTACCATTTGCAACAGCATGGATGGAACTAGAGAGCATTATGCTAAGCGAAATAAGCCAGTTAGAGAAAGATAAATATCACATGAACTCACTCATTTATGGAATATAATGAACAACATAAACTGATGAACAAAAACAGATCCAGAGACAGAGAAGCATCGATCAGACCGTCAAACCTCAGAGGGAAGGTAGGGGAGGGTGGGGGTAAGGGGGAGAGATCAACCAAAGGACTTGTATGCATGCATATAAGCCTAACCAATGGACACAGACAACAGGGGGGTGAGGGCATGAGTGGGGGATAGGGGGTAATGGGAGGATAAGGACACATATGTAATACCTTAATCAATAAAGAAATTAAAAAATAAGTAAATAAGTTAATATTTTCTCTATTATGTTTTCTAAGTACTTACATTTAGATACACTTGTTATAGCATCTCACCTTTTTTTCCTTTCTCTTTTTTAAGTGGTAAAATTCTAGAGTCAATTATATAAGAAACTAGAGGCCTGTTGCACGAAAAGATTCGTGCAATAGGCCTTCCCTTCCCCTGGCTGCCGGCACCGGTTTTCCTCCGGCACCCAGGACCCAGGCCTTCGCTCCGGCCGGAGCCGCCTTCAGTCCTCGCTCTGCCACTTCGAGCCTATGTATGCAAATTAACTACCATCTTTGTTGGTGGTTAATTTGCATATCTCGCTGATTAGCCAATGGGAGGCGTAGCAAAGGTATGGTCAATTACCATGTTTGTCTATTCTTAGATAGGATGTTCTTAGCAATATTCATTGTTATTATGATTGAATTCAGGGTACTCTAAGACATTTGAAATTATATCCACAACTTCCCCACCTCAGCTGGGGAATAAGAAAAATCAAGATTTAGAAATATTCTTTGCATATCCAAAATTTCTCTGAAGTTTTTTAGAATTTTAAATAGAGTGCTTCCCATGAATTTTCAAACAGACTAAAGAATACACGATAAGGCAAAAGTAAGTTTACAGTTTGAGTACACGAAACAGTTTATTCTTGTATTATTATTATTTATTAATTATTGTACTATTTTTCATACAAACAACTGTAAACCTACTTTTGCCACACCCTGTATATTATTTTGGCTATAACAATTATATCTCATTTTTAAACTTAAAAAAAATTTTTGTTGTTAATTCTCACCCAAGAATATTTTTTCCATTGATTTTCAGAGAATGGAAGGGAGGGGTACAGAGAGAGAGAGAGAGGAAGAAAGAGAAAGAAAGAAAGAGAAATATCGATGTGAGAGAAACACATTGATTGACTGTCTCCCACATGTGCCCTGAACAGGACTAGGGATTGAACTTGCAAAACAGGTACATGCTCTTGACCAGAAATCGAACCTGAGACCCTTTGGTGCATGGGCCAACATTCTAACCACTGAACAAAACCAGCCAGGGCCCTTTTTCAATTTTGATAAACCAAAAATTCTGCCACTCTATTATTTTTTTAATCTTTTAACTTTTATACATATTTAATAAAGTTAATTTAGTCTGAAATGAAATTACTGTAAATAAGAGAATTTTTTTAAACTTAAAAAAAAGGTTTTTTCCCATAGAAACTGGGGAAACACCATAATAAATAAGAACTCCTTATTAATATAACATTTGGGCTATTAGTAACCATTACCATTCAGAACATGTCAAATATTACATAGAATAAAACTTACATGCTCTGCCAAAATTTGTCACACACTACACATATTAAACCATTTGAATTTCACGTATTTAGGGCATGTGAACTATAATTCAGTACACATTAAACCAGTGGTTCTCAACCTTCTGGCCCTTTAAATACAGTTCCTCATGTTGTGACCCAACCATAAAATTATTTTCGTTGCTACTTCATAACTGTAATGTTGCTACTGTTATGAATTGTAATCTAAATATCTGATATGCAGGATGGTCTTAGGCGACCCCTGTGAAAGGGTCGTTCGACCGCCAAAGGGGTCTCGACCCACAGGTTGAGAACCGCTGCATTAAACCTATATGCAATCCATAATCATCGTAATAATCCCCTACCTTCTCTACCAATCCACCTCTGCTCTTCACTCCCACAATCAGCAACTCCCAAATATCACTCTTTAAAAAAAATTTTTAATTGATTTTTAAAGAGAGAGACAGACATACATTGATTGGCTGCCTCCCACCGGGGATCAAACCACAACTGGATATATGCCCTGATCAAGGATAGAACCCGTCACCTTTTGGTCCACGAAACAGTACACCAATCAACTGAACCACACCGGCCAGGGCCCAAATATCACTTTTAATACAAATAACAGGAAACTTGAGAACAGACTTTCAGTAAGTCAAAAAAATATTCCAACTGACTGCCCTTTATCAATATTTGAACACGTAATAAACTTTGAGACAAAAAGGTGAGACTTATGAAAGGCTTCTTATGATGGGTATGAAAAGAATTTCTCTTAAGATATGCTCGTATTAGGGGCTACTTCAGTTATTTACAATTATCCTCCATTTATTCCAACTCTAAGGGAGTCTTTACTTCTTTGTAAAACCAGAACATGTTTAGAAAAACATGAATTAAGGAAAATTTAAACGATGACAAGGTCTTAGAATAATAAAATTAAGAAATGTTTATAAATTTCAGGCTTCTTAACATTAACTACATGCTATACACATTGATTAGTCAAACTAGTCAGAAATCTACATACATAGTGAATAGATGACACCAGATTCAAATCAGCAGAGGTTTTTCCCAAGGTCCAACTAAGATGCCTGATTCTCTTCCAGCAGAGGGAGCAAAATCATAATATTCCACTCAGGCCACAGAAAGAAGGGCAGGGGAAGGTTTACAAGTACCTTTTAAGTATCTTAAAATCTACCTAGACATTTTAAAAAATGTAATAAAAATACCATTTGAAACAGAACTAAAATCAACCTAAAGGAAAAGATAAAGGTTTTATCTTCTTCAAACACTTCAAGGCTTTGAAATGAGAAAATGGTCCCTAGATACTTAATTTCAAGAACGATGGCATATTTCATTGTTCACCAAATCTCACAGGTAACCAAGGTATTGAAATACTAAGAATCCTTATTTTTAAAAGATTACAGAAAATGATAAAATATTACATTAAATACATCTTTACAGTATATATAGTCACATGACAAGACCTATAGGAAACAAAGAAAAGTGTATTTCACTACCCTAAAACAATCTATTCCTTCCAATATTTTTTCACATTCTGTGAAAATTAAACAACATATTAAACAGTATATTTTCATACTGTGATAAAAACATTTTATTAAGTACTTACTACATACTAGGCATGCTTCTAAGTACTGTTACATGTTATATCTCTTATAGACCTTACCAAAGCCCTATTAGATCCTATTCTTATTCCTCATTTATACTTTTTATAAGAAGAAGCAAGTGAAACACATCGAAATTATATAAATGGCTAAAAGTCACAAGCTACTAAGCAACAGGAGCCAAGATTCTAACCCAAATCGTCTGGTACCAGAGCCTACACTTTTTAAAAAATATATATTTTTATTAATTTTATTAATTTCAGAGAGGAAGAGAGAAACATCAATGATGAGAGAGAATCATTGATCGGCTGCCTCCTGCACCCCCCCGGGGATTGAGCCTGCAACCTGGGCATGTGCCCTTGACCGGAATCCAACCCGAGACCCTTCAGTCCACAGGCCGATGCTCTATCCACTGAGCCAAACCAGGTAAGGCCAGAGCCTACAATTCTAACATTAACCACTTCACAGTGATTGTAATTTTGAATTATGCTTTTCCCCTGCTATTAACAAATTCTCAGTGTCAGTCTTCAAAGTCATATTTTTAATGCCTAATTAAAATCTAATATGGAGATAATAAAACACTATGCTGCCATTAGTTGTCCCTTATAGATATAGTAAAATAAATTACTTTGTGAACATATTGCTTTTTGCTATGTTTGGATGATTGTAACAAAGTATTCTGATACTCAATTATGCCATCCAATTTCTTTCCAAAATATCTGTATCAATTAAAACTATGTAAGTTCCAATTTCACCATAAATTTGCCAACATTCAGCATTAACATTAAAAATATTTTTCTAATAGGTGAAAACAAAACCATGCTGCCAACTGAATTATTAAAGGTGCATATTATTCTGAATGTTGTTTGCTAATTCAATTTCTTCTTTTGTGAATTTCAACTTATATGCTTTATCTAGTTATCAACTTAAAAGTTTGCTTATGGCCCAGCTAGTGTGGCTCAATAGTGAAGCACTGACCCATGAACCAAGAGTTTACCGGTTTGATTCCCTGTCAGGGCACATGCCTGGATTGCAGGCTCGATCCCCAGAGGAGGGTGTGCAGGAGGCAGACGATCAATGTCTCTCGCTCATTGATGTTTCTTATCTCTCTCTCCCTTCCTCTCTAAAATCAATAAAAACTATTAAAGTTTGCTTATCAATTCACATGAACTTTTTATAAGAATATTAACCCTATGCCCATCATATGCAATAAAATGTTCCCAATATATTGTTTTCCTTTTTAATGGTTATTACATTTTTACTTTTTTATAATAAATCCTTTAGTTAAAGGCAATCATAGTTGAAAGTTACAAAAGAGGCCTTAAAACCTTATACTTTTTTAAATGTAAGAGTCCACTGCATTGAGTACATCAATGAAATTATTTTCAAATGTAACTCTGTTAAATAGAAAACTGTCAAAATCTGCATATTCATTTAATAGAACTACTGAGTTTAACCAATTTTGATTATGTCTCATATAAAATTAATGTAGTAAGTAAAAGCCCACCCTTTCCCAAATTACCAAAATAAAAGCTTCATACCTGTCGCTGTAAACATAGGCGATTTCTGTCATGTAAATGCTGATGATTAGAAATTGATGAATGCCAGCTCCGAGCCTGAGAATGAAACTGAGTTTGAGCCACATCAGAAGGCCGTGTTACAAGATGTGAAGTAAAGTGCCGATCAAGGTCATGATCTAAAACATGACTTGAATTATCTTGCCCAAACGCTGACTCATCAAACTGGGGAAGGAGACCCTCCTGAAGGAGGTCTTCTGGATCAAGTCCTGTGAATGGCTCAGTTTGAGACTCCACTTGATGAAGTAAATTCTCTTCTAAAGATGAAAAGCCATTAGTTTCTACATGATCATTGAAATGGCCCATTTGCGTTCCTGAGTCAACAGGATCCTGGAAGTTCACATGCACAGGAGATAATTTTGAATTGCTGTAATTACCCTGAGGATGTGTTGAATGCAACATTTGGAAATTACTTGAATTCAGTGATGTATTGGGATTGAGCATATGCTGAGTAGATTCTTGCTTGATTCCCCTATGAGGTGAAAAGGAATTACTTCCAGAGAAATCAGATAAAGTCTGATTTGTATGATTGGGTGCAAGAACTGCAGAGGACTGGAGAAGACTATTTGGTGATACGTGATTACTAGAAAAGGAATAATGTGAAGAAAATTGCTGTGAGTTACTGACAGAACAAGATGTCATATTTGGAGACGGTCCATTAAAATTTCCTTCTTGCCGGTTGCTACACTTGAGAAAGTGTACTGAAGGATTTGATGTTTGAGAAAACTGTTGCATCAAAAGAGACTGCTGTGAAGTAGATGCATTGGTAATCTGTGGTGGGTGGTTGACACTGACTCTGTGTGGACCAGAAACATTAACATCCATAAAATTTTTAGACTGGCTGACAGAATTTTGCCCTGGGTTAAGATTATTCCTGTTTTGTTGCGAGCGCAGTGAAGTGCACTGTGTGTGTTGTTCATTGGCCTGAAATAAGGCAAAGTCATGGTGTGCCACAAAGCTTTTGTTTTGATGCATAGAGTGAGAATGTCCTTGTTGGTGAAAAGGAGACCCATTTTGATTTGAAATGCTAGTAGCTGTCTGATGGCCCCACATTGGACTGCCATCTGCTACATCTGGAAATAAACCATTGGGTTGGTTTTGGGGGTGGATTGGAGAACAATTAAACTGAGAGTGCGGAGATAACACATGTTCAGCTGGGCTACCAAAAGACTGATTAACCTGATGAAATTTCACTGAATCAAACTGATTTAACTGTTCATAATCAGTCATCTTCTGATGCGTTGGAGTACCTTGAACATGGTTCAATGAGTCTATGTGCAAAGGTTCAAATTCTGCACCCAAGTTCAATTCATCAACTAGTGAAACAGGTCCTGGTTGTACAAATGCATCATCTGACAAACCTTCTAAGGTCTCACTAAAAAGATTGGCATCATCAAAAAAGTCCATCATTGGATCTGTCATCTTGAAAAATTCACTAACAATCTGGGTTATTCGTTCCAAAGGAAGTATCCACTTCTCTGTAGTAGATATTATTGGATCATTTCCAAAAGTCATCAACTAATCCGAGACAGGTCAATGTTCATTACTGCTCTAGGTAACGACATGTCATGAAATGTCAGAATCCTAGAAAAATAAGAACAAAAGTAATGAGTACTCATTAAAGTTCTATAAAATTTATATAGAACATCATTTATACACATCACCAAATAAAAACATGATTTAAAAACATATAATAAATTATCCTATATAATAAAGATGTAATATGCAAATGGTCATTACACGGTGAAGCGTAATGACCGACCGCATAACGACTGGATCACAGATCAGCAGGAGGGTGGGGCAGCGAGCTACAAGTGGGCAGTGGAGAGCTATAGGAGGGGGCAGGGCTGCAAGTTATGAGAGGGAAACTGGGGGGGGGGGGCGCTTGGAGGGAGCTACAGGAGGGTGGGGCAGCGGGAGGAGAGCTACAGGAGGGGGCAGGGCAGCAAGCTATGAGGGAGGGATGGGGGGAGGGCGGCGGGAGCTACAGGAGGGCGGCAGCGAGCTACTGGTGTACGGATTTGTGCGCAGGGCTACTAGTATATTATAAGAGAATGTAAACTTGAGAATGGTATGTCAGACTCTCTCCCAAACCATGAAATGGCCATCATTCCCTAAATAAATATATATGTATTATACTTCAAAGTTATGTCTTTTAAGAAAGCTGACATGAGATCCTGAAATTGATGTTTCTCTCTCAAATCAATTTTTAAAATGTTATAACGTAAAACAAAACCTCTTGATCCTTAATAGATACTACAAAAGTTAAGATTCAAAAGCAATTCTTTTAAGCAATGTTTCATTTTTATTATTCTAAGAATGCCCTCACTAAACCGTATACTTTAAAATGTAAATAGTAAATTTATGTTATATATATTTCACACACGCAAGCACAAGTAACTCAGTTATACAATTTAAAGTTTAATTCCATTATCTCTCAGTCAAAGAATCCTACTTTCATTGATAATTCATTCTACAAGGGGCCTTAAAAGCATAGCAGTTAAAAGTATAGGCTCTAAAAATATTCTGGTTAGGTCGGAATCCTGGCTTTATCATTGATTCACTATGTAATTTACACAAATCACTTAATCATTTTGAAGCTCAGTTTTTTCACCTGTGAAATGGAGATTATAATAGTACTGTACTGATCTTATAGGGCTTTTGTAAATAATCAATATCAAGCATTGTGTAAACACTGTTTTCAAATTGTGCTTCTTGGATTGCTGGGAAGGAAGAGAGGGCTTTAGGCTTTAGACCTCCCCTATCCCCATTTCCTCCCCAATAAAAAAGATTCCAAACACGAGTATTCTTATTTTACAATCTGAGCATCACACAGGATTTTTAAAAAGCAAAGGATTCCTTGGCTAAAAGAACTGAAAACATCTAATGCTTATACTATTAACATCCCCCTATGCAGATAACCATTTACTAAATTCAATTACTTACATATTGTTGGCATTCACACTTAATTTAGTTTTACTTTGAATCTAACAGAAAGGAAAATCTTTAAAACACAATGTCATCTCTATTCTTGGTAAAAAAATGTTTGAGGTCAATTAATTTGGGGCTGATACTGAAAACAGATTAGAAGTTTCCTAGCTGCTGAGTCAGGTCAAGTTGTTTAATTGAAATAGTCCTGAACATTATTTATACACATCACCAAATTAAGTATAAATATATATTTGAAAGCAAACTAAATTACAATTAATATGGAAAACAGGAAATTGACTTAAACGCAGAATTTTCCAAAGTTTGAAATACACGAAAAACTGAGACTCAGCTTGATGATCACCATCTAACTTGCAGGGTTTAGAAATACATTCATGGTTCCTAAACTATAGTTAGATGCTAATTAATGTAGCTTTCCCTCTCTGACTTACCTCTTTTCTGACATCCCAAGAGCCTAGTTATTTGTTCAAACCCTCCCATCACGGAGCTTCTCAGACCTCCTCAGGTTCTTTTGCTAATAATCTCCAATGTTGTCCCCTTCATCTCCTTCAACACCCTTATGATCCTTTCACTCACTCAGCACACCATGCTGTACTATTCACATCACCAATGTCATTTTACCTCCAAGGCCTCAGTCCAATTCAATGAACATTTCCTGAATATTTGTAGTATTTATTCCATCACTGGCACCTTAATACAAGGCTAGTGTTAACCTTTAACTTCAATGTGGTCCTTGCTTTTGTTTAGAAATGGTTATATTCATTTCCCCATGTTTCTGAGCTCTCTTTGCAGTTATTTTGTTTTTTTTCTCCCAAAGCCTTCAAGTCTGATTTCCCTATTCTCACCCAAGCACCATTTTGCCTCACTGTCTTCTGTTTTCCAGTTGAAATTCACCAATCACCTTTCAGAACCATGCATTTATCTTTGTTCTTTGTATCTATCCCTTTTCTTCTAGCTATTATCAGAAGATGAAGCATGACTCTCTCCAAAGACAAATCTTTCACCTCTTAATACCATTCCATCGAGACTTCGACTGGATTTATACTCACATATCCCATCTCTCTCAAGGATAATCATCCTCTTGCATTTGCCTGCTTCCCTTCTAACTTTAGGCATCAGCAGACCTCCCCTAACTTAACAAAAATGTACAAACAAAATCATTTTATTTCTAGTCTTTCAATCAATGACAAATATTGAAAATAAGTGATCCTCTGCCTCCATTTTCCAAATATCCATTTGCCTGTTTGTTAACCTCTTGCACTTTAGTTTCTGACCCCATAAAATTACTGCAACTATACTTTAGAATATGACCAAAAACCTGGACAATTCTAAATATTCTCTCAATTCCTGTCTTTGACCACTAAGAAACACTTACCATCATTAAGCAAAGCAGAAGCTAAACTCAAATGCTATCTTCTATATGAAGCTTCCAATCGTCCATGCACCCCCACCTCATATACTATTTAGGTTTTGAGAGCTTAAAAGAACAAGGCCTATGACTTAAACTCAGGCACCACCTACCTCTGTGCTTGGTCCATATTAAAGCTGTTTAAATGTTTTCTGAACTCAGTTTTATTAACCACTCTGCCTTCTGGATATTCTCTTAGCTTCTATGACACTACACTGTCTTTGACTTGCTTTCCTATGGCTTTTCCTGCTTATTTAAAACTAGAGGCCTGATGCACGAAATTTGTGCAAGGGGCTCGGCCCTCAAAGCTGCGATGGCTTGCCCCGGCTTCATCGGGAAGTTCGTCCAGCTGTCCGGTCTAATTAGCATATTATGCTTTTATTATTGTAGTTTGATAGATACCAGTTTCTATGCAGTGATTTCATTTCTATCAAATCCACTTACTTAGCACTTCAAATTCAGTCAAATGTTGACACATCTTCAACATACTACTCTCTAAAATGTGACTTAACATTCAAATCCTTGAGAAACCCAATTCCACTTTTCTATTAATTACTCCTTTATTTTTGTCTTACTATTGGTATAAAATAAAGATATAAAACCCAATTGCCCTCCTGGAAGTTTCTGATCAACAGCATCCACCTAGTTCAGGAAGATGTCTTTGATGAAGTTATTGATATGCATTTTTTCGTTCTTCCCAAACCATGCCCCTAAAATAGTGTATTATTCACTCTATTTTTAAAACCACACATTTTTAAGGATCAAGAAAATACAGTGTCTCTTATTTGACTATAACTTTGAGAATACAAAACGTTTTATTATAACCTGCTATAATCCAACAAGCAAAAACAACATTTTTGGACTGAAAATCTTTGTATGTGCTACTGCATATTCCTTTCTATTATGTCTCATCCCTGTAGAAATATGTATCCATCATCAAATATTCTACTTTTAAAATTAAAAATAAGAGCACAAGATTTTTTAAAGATAGTGATCCTATATAATAAAAGTGTAGTACACAAATTATCCCCTCAACCGGGAGTTGTCCTGGAGTTCAACTAGGGGGCGGGGCTGGCAGGGTAAGGGAGGGAGTACCCAGCTGGCAGCCGGTAGCCACTAAGGACCCTACCAGTGCACAAATTTCATGCACTGGGCCTCTAGTATTTTAATAAAATCACATAACTGAATATGGAGGAACCAGCATTCTCAAACACTGCTAAAAGGGGTGTATATTGGAACAAATTTGGAAATCTATTTGGCGTTATTGCTAAAGTTAAACATATGCAAACCTATGGCCAGCTTTTCCACTTGCAGTAAAATATACTCCATAAGATGTGTGCATGTGTGCACCAATTGATAAGTACAGGAAGGTTCATTTTAGTATTCACAATAGCCCAAAACTGAAACCATGTCCATAATACCTTAGAGTTAACAGCAATGAGAATGAATTACTCCTGAATGGAAAAACACATATTAGTATCAGATATAATATAAAGCAAAAGAGCGTATTGTAGCTTGATCAGTGTGGCTCAGTGGCTGAGTGTTGACTCATGCACCAAGAGGTCATCAGCTCTACTCCTGGTCAGGGCACATGTCCAGATTGTGGGCTCGATCCCTGGTTGGGGTGTGCAGGAGGCAGCCACCTGATGTTTCTCTTTCATGATGTTTCTATCTCTCCCTCGCCTTTCCTCTCTCTCTGAAATCGATAAAAACTTTTTTTTTTAAAGAGCATATACATGATGCCATTTATATAAAGTTCAAAAACAGGGAAACTACTCTATGGTTTTAGGAGTTAGCATAATGCTTACCTCTGGAAGGCTGAAAGGGTGTGATAACTGGAAAGGAGTCTGAGGGGGTCCTCTGGGGTGCCAATAACTACAACATTCTATTCCTTGACATGGGTGGCTGTTTCAGAGATGTGTTTACTTTGTAGTATGTCAGACAGCATATTCTTATGATTTATATATGTTTCTGAATGTCGATTATAACTTAAATTTTTAAAAAACCTAACTGGAACAAGATTAAGCATATAAATAAGTAAATATTTATAAATCACCATTTAGAGTATACGTCACTCATAAAAACATTGATAAACAAATAAAGAATGGTCTTTGAAAGTACATAAGTAAACTCTGCATACTACTGATTTCAACACACTTACTAAAGCAAAAGTAGTAAGAGTAATTTTATATTTGGATATGCAGTGAATTCATTAAATTATGCAACC